TATATGTGTATCCTGTTTGTGTTCATTGATATTGGACTCACAGAAACATCTTTGTCTGGTCAGCTTATAGAGACAAATGGAAGGCAGCACTGCAACACAAATTTGACTGAAGTAACGGACGAACACTGCAAGTACACTTTTGCTGTTATTTCTGACCGCCTAGACTTGCTCACCTGGACCTGCTCACCTGGACTCAGGTCTTATCGACTGTAACATCAGTGATCAAAGATTGCAAATATTCATACGTGGGGAGACTGCATTCATATCAGCTTCTTATCCGACACATTTTGTCATTTCAAACTACTGACTGACCCAGAAACAACTGTTATGCAAAGTCATTGCAGAGTTGTGTAAACCGCTGATGTCCCGATTCATATGCACGACTACCTGTGGGTCTGCAGGGTTGTTGGTTGACCTTACCTATTGATGTTCTGATTATGGAATACAAGAAGGGAAACTGTTGCGTCCTCACCCACACAACATACAAAACGTATCATAATTAACGAAAGTGCGCCAACGCTTCATGCCTCGCTTTGCTGCATTGTCCCACTTTGAATAATTATTTTGGTCAACGTAAAAGAATGCAAGGCCAAAATATGTAATATTTTACGCCAATTTTAGTTCCAAATGATACCAAAATTACCAACGGGAACAAGGTTGCTTTTCCCGAAATGGATACACACCTTTGGTTGTTCATTTAGAAATTGTCAAATATCTGTATCGTCGGTGTCTTATATTTTAGGGGGCGGTGGAGTAACTGAGTGGTTGAAGCGTTCGCTCGCCAGGCTGAAGACCCGGGTTCGATTCCCCACATAGGTACAATGTGTGAAGCCTATTTCCTGTGTTCCCTGCCGTGATATTGCTTGAACATTGCTAAAAGCGTAAAACTAAACTCACAGATTCTTGCTATTTACCCAGTGGGTCATAACACCAATAGATATATAACCCTTTGCATTTCTATTTCATATAATTGTGGTCTCAAATCGAAGAGTAGGCACTGTTTGCCCCACTGGACGGCGAAATTCGCTGTTAGAAAACTCCAAGAGCTATACCCATGCATCAAGTTCTTCCCTAAACAGTCGCGAAAGAACTGAAATACGGTTCAAAGCTTTGCGGCGTTAAACATTCTCACTCACTCAAGTTCATGAATTATCCGTGAAAGTTTGCGTCCTATGGTAGACACTATGGTCGTTTCTATGGTGGGTTCAAATACCCGTACTTTCTTTCTTTGTTACCACCATACCAATAGCAATAAACAATACTCATTTCTCATAGTCCTTTGTACGAAACGACTCTTACAAGTTTTGTAAATTAGGAATATGTACTCTCCCAAATAGAAACGCACAGATAAGGTTTCTCATATATAATCTGGTGTGTTCAAAGTAGGATAATCCGTTTGATACAATATCATTTGCACCGAAAATACACAATGAAATGGTCGATATAATTCACTCAGTGATGACGTCACTTCTCGAGTGAGCCTTGTTCTCAGTACCAATTGTGACCACAGTGTGCCTCCCCAAACGCTCTGTATATCCTGAGTATGGATGGTAGGAGTATTTGGACCCGAGCTTGTGGAATCCTCGCCCTGCAATGTGTGTGACAGTTGCACGGCTTGGACTTGTGCCCAAATACCGTGTGTCAAGCATCCGACTGCATGAACAGAAATGTTTGGGAATTTGGGAATGTTATATCTTGTACAGGAACAAACCAGATTGTTCTATACAGAAACGCATATTCCCAATTTATGTGGGGAAGTGACTGATGACATATTGTAGACATGACATCAGGCAATACACGGAAAACTGACATATGCTGCGATGAAAGGCTGTATCCGTGCGAAAATCTAATATGCCGAAATTTCACGTTGCTTTAGTTATTTCTCTTTACTTAGGTTTTCTGTTTATGAGTCTTTCTCGTCTCATTTCGAGCCTTAGAAAGAAATTTAGAATCAAGGGAGAATCTTGATATTTAAGTTATTTAAGGAAACTTGAAATAACAACAAAATACGAGAAAATATAAGAAATGAGAAAAATTCCCAATTTCGGGTTTTAGAATAAACTTCTTTGTTTATCCAAGTCATCCAAGCTGTTATACAAGAACGGTCAAATGGGCATTGTATAAGCAATAATTCTCAGATATATAGAGAAACAATCGATGGCAATATTCTCATACAAATAGGTATTAACACAGTTGGCCTTACTAGAATAAACTTGAAATGACGAAAAACAATCGGAATTATGAAAATATGGAGACATTTCGGTCTGAAAAGATTATGCTACCTGCGTGGCACCATTAGGCTTTGGCGTTCTGTTCATAGTACACAGTACAAGTAGTACCATGTACATGGTGAGCCCCACCGGAAACCCAGAGCCACGGTCCAACGTAAACAGGCACTGTGCAATGTTGCTGTGGCAATGCTAAGAAATATAAACCGTGGTTTAGGGCCTATTCGATTATGCTAAACCGGTTTGGGTTTCTGGAAAACCATGCACTCGATTATGTCGAAACCAAAAACTGGGTTCTGAAACTTCGAAACCATCTTCGAGGCAGGTTTCGCAGTTTCGGTTTCGCGTTCTCTCATAACAAACATGGTGGAAACCACCACGCTAAGCTGCATTTGCATGCGCCAAGTTCAATTGACCTTGGTGGCAATAAACAGCAGCAGTTTCTGTGACCAAAATAATGATAAAAACCAACTGAGAACTAGGAAAATATTATTCAAAACCCCAGTCTACTGAACATGACTATTTTATGTAAATTGTATACATATAATTACTTGTAACAGTATCATTACGCCTCCAAAGTATCTTATCTCTTTATTATTTGTTAATTCACTGATAAAATAACAAAACAATTTGCTGCAATCCAATTCGTTCCACATATATAGTAGCTGGGACATTTTTGGGGTATCCATTTTGAAACCGGATGGTGAAACCATCCACTCGTTTATAAAAATAGAATTTAGTTTCACTTTGAAACGATGTATCCGAAACTAGACACTCGTTTATGACAGGAGAAACCAGTTTCAGGAACCAATACCAGTTTCGCAATACTCGAAGAGGCCCTTAGTGTAGCGTGTCATAATGCTAGGGAAAGATTCAATAAAGCCAAACGGCGATTTTAAAAATTAAAATCTGTTGATAACAAACGCGTTTATAGACTTGAATCCAAGAATTATAAAAACTGCATGGATAAACATATCACACTGTACAAAGATGAATTAGATAAAATGTTGAGAGAAAAACAGAAACATGACCCGAAAGAGTTTGGAAAATTTTAAATGGCATCCAAATAAAGAGGATGACAATTCTTTTTTAGATATCCACGTACTTTACGAACACTTCAAATCATTGAATGAATCAGAACAACACGAACAAGGAGATAACGATAATGCTGACAATGCTCCTCACATTACATGTGATGTTTTAGATAGAGTCATTGCGAAAGAAGAAATCATTTCTGCAATAGACTTAATAGAAATTGAATAGTCTATAGCTAGTGTTGACTTTATGGTTCCATTATTAGTTGAACTATTTATTCTCATATTTGAGAAGGGTGTTTTACCAGAATCATAGTTAACGGGAATAATGAAACCGATCTATAAGAAAAAAGGCTATAAATCTTATTCTAACTCATACTTAGTTGTTTCGGAAAATTGTTCACTAACATATTAAACAACCTCCTTTCAGATTTCTTAGATACTAATAATGTTTTAACACATGCCCAAGCCGGGTTTAGAAAGTCATTCTCCACAATGCATTTATAATTTATAATCTGATGCAAATTTTGAAAGATAGGGAACACAAACTCTATTGTGCCTTTACAGACTTTACAAAAGCTTTCGAAACTGTTTGGCGAGTGGGATTGTGGAAAAAATGCAAACGATTCGTATAGAGGGTAAATTCCTGAATCTTGTTAAATCAATGTATAACAATATCAAATCACTTGTACAGTGTCATAATGATGTATCAAACTATCAGTCAGGGGAAAATCGGTCACCATTATTATTCTCCATTTTCCTAAATGATATTGAATCTCATTTACTTACTTCAGCCTTAATGGTGTAAATCTAAACAATATTGAAGACGAAGATTTGGTGATATTTGTAAAGTTGTTAGTTTTATTATATGCAGATGATACAATATTATTTGTTGAATCGCCAAAGGACTATTGTGATTCATGGAAGCTAAACGTGAATATTATCAAAACTAATATAGTAATATCGGTGGAGGACCATCAAAAAGCACAAAAATTAAATTTCATTTGGATGGTAAATCACTTGAAATAGTTGATAGTTATACCTACCTCGGTATAACGCTCCATTGAAATAGAAAACTCGTATCAAGTATTAAAACTGTAAGCAATAGTGCTCCAAAAGCAAAGTATAGTTTAGTGAAAAAATCTAGAAAATTAGACTTGCCTTTAGACTGTTTATTGTTAGCATTTGACTTAATGGTAATACCTATCTTGACCTATGGTGCAGAGGTCTGGTCTTTCGAAAACCTTGAAGTTTTGGAGAAAATTCATTACAAATTCTTAAGACTCATTACAGGATTAAGAAATTCAACCTCTCGTTTTATGCTGTATGGAGAACTAGGAAGATTCCCTATTACAATTATGATATATAAACGTTTATTAAACTTTTAGCACAAGTTAACTTACCAACAAGGTGTTTTTAAGCTTACGAACTTAGTTTACAAGTATTTATCACTTCAAAGAACAATGAATAAACAAGATAATCCCTGGCTCTCGCACGTTAAAAATATATTGGACAATACTGGACTCTCGTATGTTTTTGAAAATCCCTCAATTTGTACACCCCAGTGGCTGGTTTCAAAAGTTGAAAATATTCTTAAAGATCAATTTATCCAAAACTGGCACAATGACATTATTTCTAGTCCCAAGGGAATTTACTATCAGCACCTAAAGCCATTTCCTAATTCTGACGTATGTCTCCTCTACCCAAAACTGATTTCTTTACCATTATTGAGATTTAGAACATGTAACCATAGTCTACCTATTGAGACGGGCCGCTGGTATAATATTCCAAGGGACGAGAGAATTCGAATGTGTCAACTATGCACCATTAAAAGCATCTCAGATGAATATCATTATATACTCATGCCAATAATGGTTGTCACACACACACACCCCTCCCCTCCCCAACCCCACCACCCCTCTCCAATAAAAAAAATTGAAGGGGGTGACATCCATTATTGGCATGAGCATATATTTCATTGCAAAGCATTAGATACTTTGAGGAAACAATATTTACCCTCCCATCTAACCTCTTTTCCCAATGAAACAAAGTTCACGAAAATATTATCTGTAAAAACATCTCGAGACATAGTAAATATATCAAAATATATCCTACATCTATCATCTCTTGTCAGAAAAATTGTTAATATGTTGTTTTCTGCCATCTTGAATTTGAATTTGCATTTGTATATATGTTTACAATATATGCTCTTGTACTGCCAAGATGGTTTATGAGATTAAAGAATAAGCATTGAACTGGTAATTAGTCTCTCAAAACACGTTTATATCCTGTTGTGTGTGAAAGTCAACTCTACAATGCTGGGTTTCGATTTCGTTAATTAATATTAGATGTGTTTACTTTCATTACTATTATCCAAAGTTAAGAATATTTAGCATCATCAGAGTGTATTCGAACATTGTGAATTCAGTTTTCGATAAGTCATTTGTGATTCATTACAGGTATTATATAGATTCAGAACATATTTCCTCAATGTCACAAACATTTGTTTTGTGAATTCTTTTCACCGCTATGGCCTTCGTTATCAGCTGTAAAAAATCCGTAGGATAGTTTCGTGTTGCCATTTGATTGCTAGCATCGGGAAGTTTTTTCCAGAATTTTAGAAAAGAAGATCAAGTAGGTAGATGTTTCCAGGAGGATAGAGTACACCACTGACACAACCAATGCCACCGAGGTAGATGTTTCCAGGAGGATAGAGTACACCACTGACACAACCAATGCCACCGAGGTAGATGTTTCCAGGAGGATAGGTATGACACAACCAACGCCACCGAGGTAGATGTTTCCAGGAGGAGAGTGTACACCACTGACACAACCTAATGCCACCGAGGTAGATGTTTCCAGGAGGATAGAGTACACCACTGACACAACCAATGCCACCGAGGTAGATGTTTCCAGGAGGAGAGTTTACACCACTGACACAACCAATGCCACCGAGGTAGATGTGTTCCAGGACACAACCAATGCCACCAAGGTAGATGTTCCCAGGAGGAGAGTTACACCACTGACACAACCAATGCCACCGAGGTAGATGTTCCCAGGAGGAGAGTGTACACCACTGACACAACCAATGCCACCGAGGTAGATGTTTCCAGGAGGATAGAGTACACCACTGACACAACCAATGCCACCGAGGTAGATGTTTCCAGGAGGATAGAGTACACCACTGACACAACCAATGCCACCGAGGTAGATGTTCCAGGAGGAGAGTTTACACCACTGACACAACCAATGCCACCGAGGTAGATGTTTTACCCACTGGCCACCAAGGTAGATGTTTCCAGGAGGAGATTACACCACTGACACAACCAATGCCACCGAGGTAGATGTTCCCAGGAGGAGAGTGTACACCACTGACACAACCAATGCCACCAAGGTAGATGTTTCCAGGAGGAGAGTGTGACACCACTGACAGGAGGAGAGTGTACACCACTGACACAACCAATGCCACCGAGGTAGATGTTTCCAGGAGGAGAGTGTACACCACTGACACAACCAATGCCACCAAGGTAGATGTTCCCAGGAGGAGAGTGTACACCACTGCCACAACCAATGCCACCAGGAGGTAGATGTTCCCCGAGGAGGAGAGAGTGTACACCACTGACACAACCAATGCCACCGAGGTAGATGTTTCCAGGAGGAGAGCGTACACCACTGACACAACCAATGCCACCGAGGTACTGTTTCCAGGAGGAGAGTGTACACCACTGACACAACCAATGCCACCAAGGTAGATGTTCCCAGGAGGAGAGTGTACACCACTGACACAACCTATGCCACCGAGGTAGATGTTTCCAGGAGGAGAGTGTACACCACTGACACAACCAATGCCACCGAGGTAGATGTTTCCAGGAGGAGAGTGTACACCACTGACACAACCAACGCCACCGAGGTAGATGTTTCCAGGAGGAGAGTGTACACCACTGACACAACCTATGCCACCGACGTAGATGTTTCCAGGAGGAGAGTGTACACCACTGACACAACCAATGCCACCGAGGTAGATGTTTCCAGGAGGAGAGTGTACACCACTGACACAACCAATGCCACCGAGGTAGATGTTTCCAGGAGGAGAGTGTACACCACTGCCACCACAACCAATGCCACCGAGGTAAATGTTTCCAGGAGGAGAGTGTACACCACTGACACAACCAATGCCACCGAGGTAGATGTTTCCAGGAGGAGAGTGTACACCACTGACACAACCTATGCCACCGAGGTAGATGTTTCCAGGAGGAGAGTGTACACCACTGACACAACCTATGCCACCGAGGTAGATGTTTCCAGGAGGAGAGTGTACACCACTGACACAACCAATGCCACCGAGGTAGATGTTTCCAGGAGGAGAGTGTACACCACTGACACAACCAATGCCCTCGAGGTAGATGTTTCCAGGAGGAGAGTGTACACCACTGACACAACCAATGCCACCGAGGTAGATGTTCCCAGGAGGAGAGTGTACACCACTGACACAACCAATGCCACCAAGGTAGATGTTTCCAGGAGGAGAGAGTACACCACTGACACAACCAATGCCACCAAGGTAGATGTTCCCAGGAGGAGAGTGTACACCACTGACACAACCTATGCCACCGAGGTAGATGTTTCCAGGAGGAGAGTGTACACCACTGACACAACTTATGCCACCAAGGTAGATGTTTCCAGGAGGAGAGTGTACACCACTGACACAACCAATGCCACCAAGGTAGATATTTCCAAAAGGAGAGTGTACACCACTGACACAACCTATGCCACCGAGGTAGATGTTTCCAGGAGGAGAGTGTACACCACTGACACAACCTATGCCACCGAGGTAGATGTTCCCAGGAGGAGAGCGTACACCACTGACACACCCTATGCCACCGAGGTAGATGTTTCCAGGAGGAGAGTGTACACCACTGACACAACCAATGCCACCGAGGTAGATGTTCCCAGGCGGAGGTAGGGTTATCTCTTTAGCCGGAATTGCGGGTAATACCAAGGGCAACATTGCCTGTGTCAATCAACAGTGAACCAAAGCGTCCTCCTTCCTGTGAACTTGTGTTTGTGTTGCTTTTACTCTCCAGTTGGCCTCATCCAATAATGTACTACTTACCAATTACCTTTGGCTGTTGATGTCATCTGTTGCATAAGTATACATGCATTATACTTCTCATCACTTGGCTGTAGTCATTTAGTTCAATAAACAAGACTTTGTTATCCGTAAAGTTATATGTTTCGTTTCTGTGTTACTTCGTATCACATACCTATATTTCACAGATGGCTGAAACTCGAGACATGTGTCACAGGTTGGTTGAAAACACAATACCTCAACAATAAAGTCACAACCATAAAATGGATGGTTTACAACATGTCCTCCATCGGGTGGGACAAGAGCGGAAAGAGTTGGTCACGAACTCAGTTGATCTATAACTCACAGAGAAAATAATTATCCCATCTATTTAGCAGACAATGTAAAAGAGAAACATCCTCGTGTGTATTATATTTACAGCCACTGAGTTCGACGGCGTGTTTAATACGGGGTTTATCAAGGCTGCATAGTATTTGCCAGAACAACCCAAAGTCGGTAATCTGAATTTCGGCTTCAGTTAGTTCCATCTGCTTCCCGTTATTGTAAGTGTATGGTGTTACTAGGGTCTACGCAGTGGCTATAACTGCATAGGTCCTCACACGAACTTGTGAGATGGCCTCGTAACATCCTTTACCTTTTAGGTGCTAGCGACACTGATTTCACTGTATATCCTACAGCTGATTGTCACAAGCTCCATTGATCTCGAATGACTGCTGAATGATTATGTTGTAAGGGAGGCAACTGTAATGTACCGCGTGTCACTTACTAATACTTACAAATAGAGAAAGTACATCAACAATAAAACTGGCAGTTAGGGAGATCATCAGGGACTTAATTAAGTGAATGTGTGGATTTAACGTCGCTTTGAAAGCATTTATCATTATGGCGGAGCTCAAAAGATGACACCAGTCTTTCACTTAATGGATACATTTGTGACCTCATGAGCCAATACATGGTGCAAACAAATCAACGATTTTGAAATGGCTTATTTTGTGAATAAAACTTTGAATAAAAGGGACGCATCCGTGATGAACGTCAACAAGGACAACTCAAGTTGTGACATAGTTGACACACGTACTGATCTCCTGTCAATATTCTACTATTAATGATTTCTTTTGCAATATTGGTTGTATAGTATCATTGGCTTGTTCAGTCTAAGTAAACTTAGGCTCAGTATTATTCGTGACACTGCTATACTGAGTCTAACAAAACCTAGTAGAAGGTCGCGTCAGCTAACCTTTGAGCGACCTATGACCGTCCAATCAAACGCGAGACGGCCGAACGGATATAACCAATCAGACAACGACTACTTGTTAGGGTTCGGCGGGACTTACAAAACGGTTTTTGGATTTTCTCTTCCCTGGTCGCTGACGCTGATCTATCAACAAACGAAAATCCGCATAAAACACAGATATTTGACCTGCAGTATATACGCTTAGGGGTTTCTAATGACATGGTTACTATTTGCTTATATTTTCGCAAGATGACATCCTTGCATATTGACAAATACGCTATTTTCAGCGACTGTTTACTCATTGCGTGTATCACTCGGACGCGATCGTGTGGAAAATAGCATTCGGAATCGTTCGAGTTTTTGAGGTAAAGGTTCAAACGGTATGTGCGAATGTTAACTTTCGCGATTTGGTAAGAGTGTTCATTAAGCATTGAGTGTGAGTCACGAGTCGCTTTGCACCTTTCTGACTTTCAAAATGTAATTTGGGAATATTACTTCAGCAGAATAATGTTGGGACATACTCTCAGTTATCGCCTAACCTTTGTGTGGTGTTCTCTCGTAGGAATCACTATGAAAACGTGTTCTAAGCACCGGTATCATTTAGGTAAAGGCAAATGTTGATAAGTGTATATGCTACAAATGTTCTCAGCAATCTCAGTAGCATCATCCCCACATTACAAACAACAAGTAGTAGATACTAGCGAGTACCAGATAACTCCCCAGTTCCTGGTAGCTTATGGTCGTATAGCCTTTATTGTCAACTGTGCTCACATGTGTGAATATCATAAAAGACCTTCTGAGAAGGTTCATACATTCGTTTCCTTAAAATGCTCCCCATCGTTCAATGTAACAGTTTGATTCAGTAGTGAATCAGTTGCTGCTTCCCCCACTGTGGACAAACCACACGGTTCATCGATGACTAGAGACGCCGACAGCAGAGGTCCCCGCTTTGGGTTATTCTTTTCAAAGTCTATGTCTTTAACTACTTCCGATAGAAACACACACACACTTGTAGCAAGAAGAAGACCCGCTGGAAGAAAGAAGAAAAATATGTGTTTAATTCCATGTTTCACGTGGTTAAATGTTTTTTCAAGAGTGATATATGATTCTATGAAGGAAAACCAAGTTCTATGGATAGTCAACTTCTTTATTGCATTGAGTGCGACGTTTCGGCGTAGGTTCTAACACCGTTATCAAGCTCTAGCTTGGGAGTTGCTTCATAACGGTGTCCTTCATCTTTACAACTATTAAAATGCCTCGCAAAGAACTTAAGTATGCTATGATCCCCACTTACCGGCAAACACAAACGCTGCATAGTAGGAATCTGTCAGTTTCCTTACTTGAACTGCAGTTAAGAGGATATCACATTACAAACAGCATACACAGCATAATCATAATATACCCTGACAGTTTGGTTTTGAAGTGATCTCAACGGTGCATCAGTACACATATTCAGATACATTGGTACTGGAATACAGGCAAAAGAAACCCAGTTCTACCTGCCAAGTGTAACAAGTTAACACAAATATATCAGACCAATATTTCAGTTCCTCATACTCGTTAGAACCGATTACCGCGTCCCCGTCATCACTCAGTTTCACTCAACCAATCAGGACTGGATGTATCTACAAGCTTAGGATGCTGGAGAACGCTCTGGCACCAACCTTGTACACAGTGTCATGACAGTTGTTCATTTTATTTAAAGTTGGGTCAGTTCTCATCCAGCTTGTTTGCAAAACAGAATAACACTAGAATATATCCTGAACAAATGATAATGGTAATGACTTGAAAGACGGAACCAAACAACTGGATCAATAATATGAATTACCTGCTACAGGTGGGCCTATCAGGTTCATTATTCCGGTACTGAGAAGAATGAATCCAAATCCATATGCTAGGTTCTCCAGTCCAACTTTCTCCAGCGTAACAGGTCCAAGGATAACAAATATCGACGTTAAGTAAGCACCAATGCAGATGGAGTAGAGGTATCTCCCTTCAGTCGAATGGACCATGAATGGAAGAAGTAGAGTTACGACAGCTGATAACCCGCAGTTACCTGCCAGCACAAGCACTGATCCGATACCAGGGTCGTTTGTCATAACACCAACAAGAATCCGTGCTACCAGACTTCCCATTCCTGAAAGTGACACAGCTAAGGCAGATTCTTGGGGCGTTGCGCCATTGAAGTTGAAGAAGTCTGGCATAAAAGTCAAGATGATTGAAAATCCCATACTGAAAAAACATACCCCTAACGCGATAAGAAGAAACGGATAGTTTGTTAAGATTGCCCGCTTGAAATGAATAAATGACTTAAAACATGACATCTTACAACTTTCTCCTCTTCTCTCAAGCTTATCGGTCGCCACAGACCGTTTTTTCTCCAATTCATAGACAGAAGGTCGAAGAAGCAGCCCACATATACATGTGTGAAACGAGATGGCTCCCATCATCATCTGTGCTCCGTTCACACCATACCAATCGACAAAAGCCTGGACAAGGCGAGGATGTACAAGCATTCCTATGCCCACTCCGATAAACGTTAGTCCAGAAGCCATGTTGCTGTTCTCTCGGAACCAGTAACCAATGTTGATACTTACAGTAGAAAAGGCTATTCCACGACCAACACCTGAATCAGCAGAAAAAGAGATGTTGATATAAATGTTTCTTGAATATAGGTCGATGAACATGTTAGTGTACAGATACTTCTATCATGCTCTTTGGTCATAGTATACGTAGTTCAAAGAAGATCAGCACAAATGTTAGTTTTGTTTTGGGTACTGCTGATATTCGTGCACTTAAAGTTTCATGTCTGACTGGCCTTAATGTTGAGAGTGGTCATCAAGATCTTTACCCAGAATGCAGCCAAACGTCACAAAGAGTATCCTCATATCCGAAGTACAGCTTCCCAAGGAGAAACCAAGAAAGGCAGAGAGTCCTGCGATGATGATGGCCGTTCTGCAACTACTTAAGCTGATCAGAAAACTGGCAACAGGTCCTGTCATCGGAAAAATACAAATGAACAGAATTAATCACAACAGCATTCCAATATGTATTGCCTTATTATCGTCGCATGTCAGTAAGTAAAACAACTAGACTGAATTCTTATACGAAACATAACTTCTATGTTTTCATTTCTGTTATTTTGCTCTTATTGATTTTACGAGTGGGGGAGTGGTAGTGACTAGAGTTTAAAGTGATTGTTGTTTAGAACGTAATTTTACCGATTAACTAGCTGTATTAAATAGTGCATGCCGTTAAATGGTATCCCACAACCAACCTTTAATCTTACACGCATTGATGAGATCGAGGTATATTTCAACATATAATTGACCGTTTTCACTTTACACTACTTTCGGTTTGAAAAAGTGGATTGGGGTAGAGGTTGAATAGCACATATCGCATATGGTGGACGAAATGACGATAAGGCCCATATGATCCTGGTAACAGTTACAGTACGAACATGTCACAGTTTTATCATTGACACAATATCCTGCTGTCATCTTCTCGAGTTACTTAAATATTTTAGGAAGAGAATAAAAATAAACCCTAGTTTTGGACAGAACGTAGACATAAACGTAAAACATTTCACAACGTGATACTTAACACATAAATCTGCAAATAATGCACTTAACTATCGACACAGTTCAAAGGAAAAACAGAGGTGCAAAACAAGTAAGCACATGGATAAGAGGGATAAATCAAAACATACACTTAAACAATTGTGGAAGATTTTCAATAAAGTAATAGACAGAAACCAAAAGTCGGAAAAACACGATATTACTGACATTTTAAAACATTTCCAGAACATTAATGATGGTGAACACCACGTGGATGATTTGGAAATAAATGATGAAACAACGTTTTAGATTATGAAGACAACGTGTTGAATCGGGAGAAAACGTTTGATGAAATAGCATAGTCCAGTAAGAGTCTTAAACGTAACAACGCCTCAGGCACCGATAACGTTGATAATGACTACCTTATTGGTTCTTTTAATGTCTTTGGAAATGTATTTGTTGAATATTTCAATTTGATATTATCTTCAGGAATATTACCTGAAGCGTGGCTTTCTGACTCTACAAAGGGAAAAGTATCAAATCAAATCCGAACGCTTACAGACCCATCACAATACTCAGCTACCTTTGGAAACCTTTTTACCACTGTTCTCAATAATATATGTAAACATGTCCTGGGGATAAATAATATTTAAAACTTCAATCCGGATTGAGAAAGAGTTACAAATTATTAAACAAAGTAAGAGAAATATATAATGCGCTTTTACTAATTTTAAGTCTTTGATAAAACAGATGGGTTATGTCATTCAGTACTAAAATGTGTAAATTCTTCCAGTTGGTTCAACATATGTATGCAAATATAAGATCATGCGTGTCTACAGATGGTGTTGTATCAGATTATTGTCCGTGTTAAATTTATGATCTCTGTTTTTTGTCTCTTCGCCAATGATCTTGAAACATTTTTGATGAAAGACAGAACACTTCGCTCCTCCCTATCCCTCTTGTTTTAGTACACACTCCCACCAAAGCTCCCGTCGTTGTGATACATTTGCCTGAATCAGAATGTTGTTGTGAATTTGATTTGATTTGATTAATGTATAGTCACAAGTGGTACGTGGTGAAATAAATATTTTTCCCTCTAATAACAACTATTTGTGCTTTCAGTAGATCTGCGTGTTATTCTTCTGCTCAGCTTTTGTACTCTCGAATGTGACAAGAGAATGGCTGCTGACATTGAGCCTGGTTAAATGGCACCCACCTCCAACAGCATGCATCATGTTGGACACTGAGACCAGCCAGGAGACCGTCTCGGCGTCATACAGGCCGGTCCTCATGAAGGCCATCAGGAACACACCGTTGGCATAACCAGTTGACGGACAAAACAGCAATGTTGATAGCGAGGCTCCCACGATCACGTGACGCCATGGATCGCGTTTCTTCTCCATAATGTAATGCAGTGAAGGATATGTTATCTGTATGCGTAAAGAAACATACACTTCAAATAAAGAAGGTACAAATTATCATGACATTGTTGACGATCATCTGTTTCACTATGTCAGTAAGATCACGGCAAAAGAAAGTTTTCTGAGAATAACGAAGAAATGACGATCAGATGAAAATGCGAAATGCCTGTAACAATCGTGATATGGCGATAACAATTTCGTCACAACTTATCCACCTGTAATAGAGAGTAAGCTCTGACAATAACAATGTCATCACAATTTCATCTACCTATAGGGTGAACTCTGACGACATAATGTCGCCACATTTTTGTGTTCCTGTATTATGTTCAGTTTAAATATAATGTCAGCCACCTGTATTATGTTCAGTTTAAGTTATACCTTAACTATGTCATCATAATGTCACCCACCTGTATTATGTTCAGTTTAAGTTATACCTTAACTATGTCATCATAATGTCACCCACCTGTATTATGTTCAGTTTAAGTTATACGTTAACTATGTCATCATAATGTCACCCACCTGTATTATGTTCAGTTTAAGTTATACGTTAACTATGTCATCATAATGTCACCCACCTGTATTATGTTCAGTTTAAGTTATACGTTAACTTTGTCATCATAATGTCAGCCACCAGTATTATGTTCAGTTTAAGTTATACGTTAACTATGTCATCATAATTTCACCTACCTGTATTATGTTCAGTTTAAGTTATACCTTAACTATGTCATCATAATGTCACCCACCTGTATTATGTTCAGTTTAAGTTATACGTTAACTATGTCATCATAATGTCACCCACCTGTATTATGTTCAGTTTAAGTTATACCTTAACTATGTCATCATAATGTCACCCACCTGTATTATGTTCAGTTTAAGTTATACGTTAACTATGTCATCATAATTTCACCTACCTGTATTATGTTCAGTTTAAGTTATACGTTAACTATGTCATCATAATGTCACCCACCTGTATTATGTTCAGTTTAAGTTATACGTTAACTATGTCATCATAATTTCACCTACCTGTATTATGTTCAGTTTAAGTTATACGTTAACTATGTCATCATAATGTCACCCACCTGTATTATGTTCAGTTTAAGTTATACGTTAACTATGTCATCATAATGTCACCCACCTGTATTATGTTCAGTTTAAGTTATACCTTAACTATGTCATCATAATGTCACCCTAGTGTATTATGTTCAGTTTAAGTTATACGTTAACTATGTCATCATAATTTCACCTACCTGTATTATGTTCAGTTTAAGTTATACGTTAACTATGTCATCATAATGTCACCCACCTGTATTATGTTCAGTTAAAGTTATACGTTAACTATGTCATCATAATTTCACCTACCTGTATTATGTTCAGTTTAAGTTATGCGTTAACTATGTCATCATAATGTCACCCACCTGTATTATGTTCAGTTTAAGTTATACGTTAACTATGTCATCATAATGTCACCCACCTGTATTATGTTCAGTTTAAGTTATACGTTAACTATGTCATCATAATGTCACCCACCTGTATTATGTTCAGTTTAAGTTATACGTTAACTATGTCATCATAATGTCACCCACCTGTATTATGTTCAGTTTAAGTTATACGTTAACTATGTCATCATAATGTCACCCACCTGTATTATGTTCAGTTTAAGTTATACGTTAACTATGTCATCATAATTTCACCTACCTGTATTATGTTCAGTTTAAGTTATACGTTAACTATGTCATCATAATGTCACCCACCTGTATTATGTTCAGTTTAAGTTATACGTTAACTATGTCATCATAATGTCACCCACCTGTATTATGTTCAGTTTAAGTTATACGTTAACTATGTCATCATAATGTCACCCACCTGTATTATGTTCAGTTTAAGTTATACGTTAACTATGTCATCATAATGTCACCCACCTGTATTATGTTCAGTTTAAGTTATACGTTAACTATGTCATCATAATGTCACCCACCTGTATTATGTTCAGTTTAAGTTATACGTTAACTATGTCATCATAATTTCACCTACCTGTATTATGTTTCAGTTTAAGTTATACGTTAACTATGTCATCATAATGTCACCCACCTGTATTATGTTCAGTTTAAGTTATACGTTAACTATGTCATCATAATTTCACCCACCTGTATTATGTTCAGTTTAAGTTATACCTTAACTATGTCATCATAATGTCACCCACCTGTATTATGTTCAGTTTAAGTTATACGTTAACTATGTCATCATAATTTCACCTACCTGTATTATGTTCAGTTTAAGTTATACGTTAACTATGTCATCATAATGTCACCCACCTGTATTATGTTCAGTTTAAGTTATACGTTAACTATGTCATCATAATTTCACCTACCTGTATTATGTTCAGTTTAAGTTATACGTTAACTATGTCATCATAATGTCACCCACCTGTATTATGTTCAGTTTAAGTTATACGTTAACTATGTCATCATAATTTCACCTACCTGTATTATGTTCAGTTTAAGTTATACGTTAACTATGTCATCATAATGTCACCCACCTGTATTATGTTCAGTTTAAGTTATACGTTAACTATGTCATCATAATGTCACCCACCTGTATTATGTTCAGTTTAAGTTATACGTTAACTATGTCATCATAATGTCACCCACCTGTATTATGTTCAGTTTAAGTTATACGTTAACTATGTCATCATAATGTCACCCACCTGTATTATGTTCAGTTTAAGTTATACGTTAACTATGTCATCATAATGTCACCCACCTGTATTATGTTCAGTTTAAGTTATACGTTAACTATGTCATCATAATTTCACCCACCTGTATTATGTTCAGTTTAAGTTATACCTTAACTATGTCATCATAATGTCACCCACCTGTATTATGTTCAGTTTAAGTTATACGTTAACTATGTCATCATAATTTCACCTACCTGTATTATGTTCAGTTTAAGTTATACGTTAACTATGTCATCATAATGTCACCCACCTGTATTATGTTCAGTTTAAGTTATACGTCATAACTATGTCATCATAATTATACGTCACCTACCTGTATTATGTTCAGTTTAAGTTATACGTTAACTATGTCATCATAATATCACCCTACCTGTATTATGTTCAGTTTAAGTTATACGTTAACTATGTCATCATAATTTCACCTACCTGTATTATGTTCAGTTTAAGTTATACGTTAACTATGTCATCATAATGTCACCCACCTGTATTATGTTCAGTTTGTTATACGTTAACTATGTCATCATAATTTCACCCACCTGTATTATGTTCAGTTTAAGTTATACGTTAACTATGTCATCATAATGTCACCCACCTGTATTATGTTCAGTTTAAGTTATACGTTAACTATGTCATCATAATGTCACCCACCTGTATTATGTTCAGTTTAAGTTATACCTTAACTATGTCATCATAATGTCACCCTAGTGTATTATGTTCAGTTAAAGTTATACGTTAACTATGTCATCATAATTTCACCTACCTGTATTATGTTCAGTTTAAGTTATACGTTAACTATGTCATCATAATGTCACCCACCTGTATTATGTTCAGTTAAAGTTATACGTTAACTATGTCATCATAATTTCACCTACCTGTATTATGTTCAGTTTAAGTTATACGTTAACTATGTCATCATAATGTCACCCACCTGTATTATGTTCAGTTTAAGTTATACGTTAACTATGTCATAATGTCACCCTAGTGTATTATGTTCAGTTTAAGTTATACGTTAACTATGTCATCATAATGTCACCCACCTGTATTATGTTCAGTTTAAGTTATACGTTAACTATGTCATCATAATGTCACCCACCTGTATTATGTTCAGTTTAAGTTATACGTTAACTATGTCATCATAATTTCACCTACCTGTATTGGAGGATAAACACTGATGAAAACGAGATTTCCAGGGTACAGTGTGCGAAATCGTTTCCAAATTTGGCTAGCCAGTCGGACAAGCTATGCCTGAAAGTTATCAGCCAACAAATTATTTACTTGCCCGGAATTTGAAAGTAGAAACTAAGCAAAAGATTACAAAAATAGATGAGAATAAGATACTGTCGGCATGACACGAATTTCAGCATTAAGTTACAAATATAGTAAACATTTTTATACATTTTAACCTTGCAGTATTTAAAAGTGTATTAAACAAGTGTATTATAACTTAACAAGTGATAGTTAAGTTAAGTTAACAAGTCACAGAATGATATATTTACAAAAGAAAATTCACTAGCCAGTCGGGCCAGTGATGGTGGAGATTTAATGGTCCGACTATATTTTTACTAGCGGGCCAGTGGCTATATAAACTGACGTGCAAAAGAAAATACACAGGTGTTATTGTTGTTGCAAACCCAAATATGCGTTCTAACTAATAAAATTATTGAAAAACATTGATTGTATAGAACGCAACCATCATGTTTCATTTGCCAAAATGCAGCCAAAAACATTTGTACGTGTTTTTTACGAATTTTTGCACAATTGTGATTATTGTCCCATGCACCATCACTTTTCTGACAGAGAGTATAAAACCTGTTTGTCGTGAAGACTGAACAATCACTTGACAGAAATCTCACGAGGACATTGCAAGGACATTGGGTTGCACAAGACAAACCATAATTCGGCTGTTTAACCGTTTAAGTACGACAGGCCAGACATGTGATCGACCCATAAGTGGACGTTCCAAAGTCACAACACCCCAAGAGGATCGCTATCTGCGGGTTATTCACCTACGCAACTGGATGTTGACGGTGACGTTATCAGCAGCCACATCATTGGGTCATTGCGTAAACCGATTCACAGTGACAAGACGACTTCGTCCTGCTGGCATGTATGAGCCTACCGACCGCTGCGTGGAATGGCCTTGACCTTCCAGCATCGTAGGAACCGTCTGCAGTGGTCATCACCACATCGCTGTTTATTGTTACAATGTCATTTTGCTGATAAAACACGTGTATTGCAGTGTGCTTCAACATACATTTTCCATTTCATCAAAAGGTTTTGTTATTTTTATCTTATTGGAAGAAACACAACCTATGTACTTTCTTTTGCACATCAGTTTATATACCGATATGGTATCTGCATACAGCAAAGTATTCAAGTTTAATTGTTTCTGTATAAGACTGTTCAATCAATAATGATCGGTATTGAAGTAATATCCCGGGGCAGAGGGACAATATTTAAGTAATATCCCGGGGCAGAGGGACAATATTTAAGTAATCCTCCCTAATCGACGGGCCATCGGGACATGACTAGAAATACTGCCTTGCAAGTACAATACAGTGACGTCACTGTCGGTTTATAATGAGCGTGATCGTACGACGTGGCTGGTTACTGGTTGGCCTGGTTAAACGCAATTGTTTACTGGGTGCCGTTCCACTAACCGATCTTAGCCCTATGCCAGTCGTAAACCCCTTAAATCTTAGCGTGACGTTACGATCGGCATACCGTTCCACTAACCAATCTTACCCAAGTCAATCGTAAAGTTGAGATTCAAAGTCTGAGATTCAAAGTCTAAGTTGCCCATGACCAACTTAGGATAGCTAAAATCAATCGTAGAGAAACCAAAATGGTAGCTTTCCTATTCTATGTGAAAAATAAGAGTGAGCGTTTCACCGTGAGCGTCCCCTAAAATCCCCCATGAAATGAATTTGTATATTTCTGTGATGTAAACAAACACTGCACTGAAGCCTTACAAATGTCAGGCCAGTCTGACCACTGTCGTCATGGGAACACAACCGAGCGAGTCGGTGTAACACATTTGTACAACAATATTGCAACGTCATGGTTAAGAATAGGGACAGGCCGTGAAGTGAACAATGTTCTGAAACAAAAAGATACAAATATGTTTGATTTCACGTGCGCTTATTTGGTGGGGGATTCTAAAGGCAGGCCGCGTGTTAAGACCACTGACACAATTGACATTTTTTAAGTCCAGACTTAAAACCTGTTCTCAGTATATTACTTATAATCTCGGCTGTAAATACTCTCGTGTAAATTATATGTACATAGCGCTTTGAGCATGCCCCAGGATGTTGAATAGGCGCACTATAAATATGCATTTATTATTATTATTACTATGCCTGATACCCAGCGTTCACACACACTTGCACCTGAAATCAAGGTGCTCACTACCCTAATATTTTGCTCTAGGTTTTTTCTCCACGTTTACACTTGGTTTAGCCCAGCGGATAAGTGCAGTTTTTTCACTGAATTGTGCACTTTGTGTTACAAGCATGAAATCTGGCATGATTGTAGCTTATACCCTTCTTATCAAATAAAGATCGAGAGGCCTCGCAGATTTTTTATATTTTTCAAATTTTGGGGAGAAAAAGTGGGGAAAAATCATTTTTTCTACTATTTTCATCATACCTTTTTTTTAATTCCCCAATTCTCATAAATCATATATCAAATTGTAGGACATTCATAGCTGATCATTTTTCATCTATACATGTCTTTCTATCTTTAGCGGTTAGGACTCCAGAAGTATTTATATATTACCAGGGGTGTCATTTTTCAAGAAAATGGGGAAAATGGCTGACTTAATTTTGTTTAAACTTCCCACAAATATTTTGTGACCTCTTATGAAACTAATGGGCATTGCCAACATAAACTTTTAAATCATAGTAATGACATTAAAAGTTTTTATTTATCTGAGGCCTCATTCACTGATCCTAATAACAAAGAGTTGTACCTCCAGCAGTACAATAACAAAGAAAACTAGAGTGATCTCCCCTTTTGCAATGGAGTCACCTTTCATCACAGCTTGACCTCTAGACTTGGATTACATGCACAATGTAAATATTACGGAAAAAGACTTGTAAAGCAAGGTAAGACATTTTGATTTCTATGTAGAATTCAACTTTGAAAGAAAAAAAAAATTGAGATAATTTTTAAAAAAAATATCTAATTTGCCAAAATCATCAAAAATCATAACAAGTACCAGAACACATATACATAATTTTGAAATGATATATTCAAGCAAAGTATTAACTTGCAAATGCCTATATTATCCTGAAAAAATGATATGATCTCAGAAAACATGTCCAAGACCCTTGTTGACATTCTCAGTGAGATACTATGTTCTTTCAACTAGTTACATTTAGGATCCAGTACAGAACGTTTGTTCATCCACTTTTTGTAATAAAATCGATAAAAAGTGAAAATTAACATTAGAAAATAATATTCATTAGTTTCTAAACTGTGTTTAATTATATTTTTATGTTTTTTTAGCTTTCAAACAAGATGCTGGACTTTGGAATTTTGAATTTTCTAGCAGTGGGAAACACTTCAAACAATAAATGACAATCCTAAACTGCATCTACAACCAGCACACCTTACAACAAGAAAGGTAAATCTATATTTTAACAGAATATATGATATATTTTTTGGTAATTTGGAAAAAAATCTTCTTCGTTTTTAACTTTAGGATCAAGTACAGGACCTCTGTTGATCCTCTTTTTGTAACAAAATCGATAAAAAGCGAAAAGTAAAATTAGAAAATAATATTTATTATTTTCTATACTGTATTTAATTATGTTTTTATGTTTTTTTAGCTTTCAGACAAGATGCCAGACTTTGGAATTTGGAATTTTCCAGTAGTGGGAAATACTTCAAACAATAAATGAGAATCCTAAACTGCATCTACAACCAGCACACCTTCTGATAAGAAAGGTAAATCAATATTTTAACAGAGTATACAATATATTTTTTGTAATTTGGAAGAAAAAAAAACTAACTAAAAAATTATATTCATTAAGCCTTTGAGAGCCCATTAATGGATATATTTCATGAAAAAGGTTTTATTCTAAACATACTCGGTTTTACTCAGGTTCGTTTTTCTATTTCAGTCCTGCCTTGGCAAGATGAGTAATTTTGGAGAGCTAAAAGCATCTACAAACTGGAACATCTGTGTCTTCTGTCAGCAACAACTGAAGAAAACCTACAATGTCCAGCAAATGCTACTCGAAATGCTGGGGTTGGGTATGTTTCACTAGCAAACAATTTGGAAGCATTCCAAGAGTTGGGACACAGTCCAATGAATATAAATCTCGCCCGTTTAGGTGGAATAGGAAACATTGAAAATTCCTTTTTGGTGAACAAAGCTTCCTGGCACAAATCATGCAGTTTGAAGTTTAATAACAAAATGCTACTAAAAGCGGAAAAGAAACGAAAATCCTCTGAAAAACTAGGACGTGAATCTGATGCAAAGTTTATGCGGACTAACAAAGTGAACATTGATAAAAAAAAGTGTTTTCTTTGCAACGAACAAGAACCTCTTAATGAACTCAGATCAGTTTCAACATTTCAGCTAGATTGCCGTGTAAGAGACTGTGCATTGAAAATTCAAGACATGGATCTTTTAGCAAAAGTCAGTTGTGGGGACTTGATGGCACTGGAGGCAAAATACCATAGTATCTGTCTCTCCAAGCTTTACAGAAAAGCAACCATGGTTGATAAAGGAAAAGAGTCAGAAAATATAGATGAAAGAGATGAGTTGTGCAAAGGTATAGCGTTTGCACAGCTTACTCAATACATTGAAGATTGCCTACAGAAAGAAGATACACCAATATTTAAACTTTCAGATCTTACAAGACTGTATGTCAGTAGCCTGTCAAGTCAGGGTGTTGTTATGACCAACAGAATTCACAGCACAAGACTGAAACAGAAATTGCTTGATTTCTTTCCTGACTTACATGACCATCCAGAAGGAAGGGAAAGCATGCTTGTTTCCTCTCAACATGTAGGAAAAGTTTTGAAAGATTTCAGAGAAAAGGATTATGATGAAGAAGGATTGACTCTGTTTAAAGCTGCGCAAATTATACGAAGAGACATATTGAACATGAAATCAGACAACCTCGGATCCTTTGATGGTAGTTGCCAAACAGGATCTATACCACAGTCTCTTCTGTCATTACTTGAAATGATTCTCGATGGAACCAATATCAAATCAACACTTCATACCAAATCACAGTCCTCACTTT